TCAGGTGCCCAAATCCTTCCAGAATAGGCTTCTTGGCCAACTGCAGGGTGAGCAAGCGGAGGGGGGCATAGTGCTCCCCTGGTGTCTATAGCATGGGAATGGCAGATACTTAATAAATACCAGTTTGAACCTCTCGTCTCCTGCGTACCCCCATTCAGCACCAGACTTTATGGATTGCAAGAATCCTCTTGCTATTGGCCAGGGTGAAATATAAATGGTAAAGTAAGAATTCCATAGATGTTGTTTCAAAAGCCCAAGAGTGAGTGATTCAGAAGAATGACCCATTCCAGAGTGTACTTTTTTATGTTCTGAGGCGGACTTCTCGGCGTGTGGGTTTCCTAGTATTCTGCACAAATGCGTCCTTCTTGGAGTGCCGGCTGTGTGCTCAGAATTACATTCGCTGCCCTGACTCCATCACCTCATTTCACCCACATGACACTGTGAAGCCGGTGTGATTAACTGTCTTAGATGAGGACCCTGAGGCTCTGAGACGTAAACGGATCAAACCCAGGCTGTGCTCCCAGCCAGTGAATGACTTAATATTCCAGCCCAGCTCGTCTGGTTTGAAAACCCATGCTCTTCTCATGAGCAGAAAGGTGGCGTTTCTGAAGTGTAGCAAAAAATGGTAAAATAAAACAAAAATGAAATGATGAAATAAATACCTTAGTCTAGAACCTGTCCATACGCAGTCGTGTACTGTTTAAGGACGGGGACAAATGTGTCATTAGGTGATTTCACCATGTGTGTACACCACGGAGTGTGCTTACACAAACCTACTCCACACCCAGGCTACATGGTGCAGCCTGTTGCTCCCAGGCTACAAATGGGAACAGCCCGGTACGGACGTAGCAGAGATAATGGTATTTTTGTATCTAAACAAAGAAAAGGTACAGACAAATGTGGTATTGGAATCTTCTGGGACCACTGTTTTACACATGTCTTTTATCTGTGGAAATGTTACAGTGAGTGGCTGTATTTACACCCCCCCCCATCACCCTCTGCAACATCCCCAAGTAATGAAGCTTCTGAGATTAAGAAAAGGGTGATTCACAACTTTGCATCCTGTAGAAGTCTCTCCGCTTTCTCTCACCCTCTCTTCCTCTCTCCCCACTCCCCAGACCACTCCTTCACCAACAATATATTTTCCTGTCAAAATATACTTGGTTACGTGCAGGGCCACCAAAATTGCTGCTATTAGTTTAATTGAGACAGGGTGATTATAAATCAATTACATGCAATGCTACCAAAATTGCTGCTATTAGTCTAAATTGAGACAGGGCGATCAGTCATCACCAAGTGTAGTTTAATTCAGAATCGGCTCCACATGGGTGACCACAGAGGACCTGTGGTCATCTGGCAGCCCAAGGCATGCAAGGCCAAATCCCCAGAGGCTGGACCTAGAGGCCGCAGATCTCTCTGACCACCAGTAACTGACAGAAAAAAAAATTCCCTGTATCTGGTTGGTAAGGATCCGGTGAGGGGTGATAATGACTTTATTAGAAGCTTAGGGCTGGAAAGTACCATGGTTAGAAACCTTCTGGATGGAAAATCTGAACCTGAATCTGTTTGTGTATGGTGTGTCTCTCAATGCATTCATCTTCTGTTGCTTCCTCAAAATGATTTGAGATGGATTTTTTTTTTTTTTTTTTTTGGAGACAGTCTCACTATGTCACTCTCAGTAGAGTGTGGTGGCTTCACAGCTCACAGCAACCTCAAACTCTCAGGCTTAAGGGATTCTCTTGCCTCAGCCTCCCAAGTAGCTGGACTACAGGCACCTACCACAATGCCTGGCTATTTTTTGTTGTAGTTGTCATTGTTGTTTTAGCAGGCTGGGGCCAGGTTTGAACCCGCCACCCTCAGTGTACACGGCTGGTGCCATAACCACGGTGTTTAACATCTCTTAAACCTGAGATGGGTTTTTAATATTATGTTGTTTTCCTACTAATGATGAAAGAAACCTCATGCTCATGGTAGAAAATTTCAAAGGCATAAACAGCATACAGGGATAAAACAGTTACTGTTACCATTTGCTCTACTTCCTAGAGGTAGCAACTATTTCACCTGTGTGTATTTCTTTAGTCATTCCACTTGTATATTTATATATTCCCTCTGGCATAGCTGATGCCTACTGAATGGACAATTTTATATTAAGCTTTTGTTTTCACAAGTAGAAAACATTTTAAGTCACCTAGACAAGGCACATTAAAGTTAAACAATAAAGCCAAGGAGGGGTGAGAGATGGTCGTGGACCTCCCATTCCTGGAGGCAGCATGACGAAGTGGAAATCTACCCAGTAAAGGAATCCTTTCGTCTCTCTGATTTCCTGCTTCAATCCTCAAGTCTCCCCTTGCCAGCCTGGGTAGGGCGGTACAATCTGAATGGACAAGGTGGCTCTGGACAAACAGCCTTGTGAGCTTTACTTTCCTCCTTTCTAGGTCAACATATAGACTAGATATTCTCCAGAAGTGCCTTACAGGTTTGAGAGTCAACACTTTATACGTAGGTACTGGAGAAAGCCGACCACTACTGGCTAGTAAATAATACGGACAGGCGAGGATGACTGGAAAGATCGAACCTTAATGATTGACTAATATTACGTTTTTATTTTAAGTCCCCAGTATGGAGATGTGGACAAGTAAGTATTCTTCATTTAGTTCAGCAGACAGGGTCCTAAAAAGATGCACTAGCACTGCTTGGAAACCGGATCACAGGGCCCAGTTTTCTTACCACATCCTCCCGAATCAACTCAGTAAAACGGAGGCCCAGAGGTAGGTTTAAGATCTCAGATTCCTAAGCTTTCTTATCTGTAATTAATGACTCAAAACCATTCTGTGCTGGTTTTCCATAGGAAAAACAATGCAGTATTTACTTTGTAATAGCCACGCCATGGAATCTTTTCTAAACAATCATGTATTTAGCTTTGGAATTAAAAAAAAAAAAATGTGTGATAATTTACTTTCCCAGGGCGAAGCATTTGGATTTTTCTAGTTTTCAAAATAGATTCTAGGAAACAAACTAAAAAGTTCCTTCCTTCCCTCGATCTGCTAGAGATTCTCAGATGAAATTACATTATATACCCTGACCTTTGTGTCTTTGCAATTAACTGGTAGGCCCTGATTAAAATCCCCAACCTGAAAACCCAACTAATCAAGCACACACACAAAAAAAGCAGTATCTAAAAATCAGAGAATATTTCTCCTTTTTAAAAGAGAGTCTTTTAAATACCGAATTCCATGATATACGCCTTTATTTTGGATTCATTCACTCCTTGGTTGGGAGGGGCGGGAGAGCCGAGAAGTTGCAGGCCGAGTGGTAACTGGCACAGTTTCCTGGGAAAAGCCAGGAGGGACAACGTGATAACACATGTCTCTTTTCCTATGAAGTTGCATATTGCAATCAACTTTTTTGGAAGACGCTCTTTTTTTTTTTCATGCTTTTATCAATTTATTCTCTCAAGCAATATGTATAGAATGCTTTCTAGGAAGGACATTGGCGAACAGATACACATGAAATCCCTGCCTTTGTGGAACATATGATCACATAGGGGAGACAGGTTTTATCAACTGTGTGCACAAATTAACATGTAGCTACAGCCTGTGAAATGCGGTATGAAGGACGTAGACCCTGTGCTGTGAACGTGTAGATTGAAAGTCCATGGTTCTAATTTCTGCCCTCTCACCAAATAGCTGGGGAATGTTGAGGGAACTGCTGTTATTCTCTGCCTTGCTTTTCCCTTGCAGTCACACCGTACTCCCACCCCACTGCCACACACCCCACTCACTCCAGTGGTGTGCTGGAGGGAGAGCTCACTGTGCCTGACACTCCCCAACTCCCCGCTTAGCAACATGACACTGGCAGTTTGAAATCAGTCTTGATGGAAATATTTGCACTGTGGAAAGCAGCAAATGAATCAGGGATTTTAGAATGTTTTTGACAAAGCCAATCATTAAACATTTACCAGCACACCACTGGCTGGGAGATGTCCTGGCCTACAGGGTCTCCAGGCTCTAGCAACCTGCCCAGTTGCGTTCATCTTTCTGAAGGCACTGCCATTGTGGGGTTTTACACAACACTCAAAAGCTCTTTCTTGGAGTTGCTTCATTTCAGACTCACAAGGGCCCTGTGAAACAGCTAGAGTCACAGAGGGAAGATGCTCTTTTAATCAATTGGGCCACTTCCGAATCAGGAATGTGCCCCCACCCCTACCCCAAACACTGGAGGACACCCTTGGCCACTTCTCACCTGGAAACGTGCTGCTTACAGAACTTGGGGCAAGGTTGCCTGCAGGTCAGATTAGAGGAGAACCAGTATCATCCTTTTTAGGCCCTGAGGCAGATTTCTCAGTTGGCCAAGCCCCCGCTGAGCTGTAAATGTTGACAATTACCAACATGTGGTCCAAAGAGCAAGGAACTGGGTGATCCGAGCCCTGGCCTCATCTTCTCTCTGATGGCTCTTCTCTGACTCACTGTTTATTCTAGAAAGGAGGGACTGATCATTCTGATCTACCTTACAAGTTTATTATGAGAGTTACAAACAAATGGAGGTTTTAGTATACTTAGATTGGCACTAGGAGGTACTCAATAAATGGTAATTGTAAAAATTGCAATAGCAGTAAGCATGTGCCTGTCTGCCAAAAAGTTAGCAGGCAGTGCTAGACACTTGCCATTGATCAGGAATGAAATGGGCGTGGTATATCTTCATCATTAGATAGTCACCCTACTAACTTTGCCCAATTTAGCAAGTTTATAAGTCAGGTGTACTGTAGATGGAATTTCTTTATGACCAGGGCACGTCTGTGCATCCTTTGCTCATTGGAAGCCCACGGTAGGGGGCTCATGCTGAATCAAAGGTGTCACTTCAGTTCATGACATGGGACATGCATGTCTCCTGCACTGAGGAGAGAGAGACGAACTGTCCTAGCTTGAGAGTTCCCATTCAAGGCTTCCTAAAGGTGCCTTTCCCTCAGAGTCTTGAGGACTCAGGCATCTCTTTTCTTCTAGGGTTTTAAAGATCCTGTGTACCGAGCAAGACGGAAACAGTTCGCTGACATCGCCTACAGCTACCGCCAGTAAGTCTGCCTGGGCGCTTGGGAGAACAGGACCACAGGCTCCTGGCTGGCTCTCCCTTGGCTACAACCAGTCAAGGTTGGAAGAAACCAACATGGAGAGCCCTGCCTTGTCTGCGTGTGTGTGTATGTGTGTGTGTATAAACCCTCCCTTTGATAACATGTATTTTTTAAAATTGCTGTTAGAATCCCCAACACTAAAAAAAATTCTTTTTAAAGTAAAAACAAAAAAATAATAATAAAAATTGCCATTAGGCCGAGCGTGGTAGCTCACACCTATAATCCTAACACTTGGAAGGCCAAGGCGGGTGGATTGCCTAAGCTCAGGGGTTCAAGACTAGCCTGAGCCAGAGCAATGCCCCATCTCGAAAAATAGCTAGGTGTTGTGGTGGGTGCCTGTAGTCCCAGCTACTTAGGAGGCTGAGGCAAGACAAGCGCTTGAGTCCAAGAGTTTGAGGTTGCTGTGAGCTATGATGTCACGGCACTCTAACAAAGGCAACAAAGTGAGACTCTGTCTCAAAAGAAAAAAAATTGCTGTCAGACAAAACAAAATTACCCACCGTGCTGGGATCCCTCTCTCTCCCAAGCTTTGTTGTGTGATTATGCAGTGGTGTCTGAAGTAATTATAAAAGGCCTCAATCTTGAATAAAACAGCCTCTGGTCTTCTCCACATTAAACGGGAAAGAAGGCAAAAGGAGAATCATTTACATTCAGGAAGGAGCTGTGGCTACTCCACTGAAATAATGAATCATGTGAAATTTCAGGACAGCCAGGCTTCCGGTTTCTACTTTTATCTGGTCTGACCCAGCTGGGAAGGGCCATTTTAGGATGGGCTTGTTTTGCTCTGTCTGGGATTCTGTGCTCCTCCCTTGCCCTATTTTAGCCAAAAGAGAATGCAAATATTAAATACGTTGTTTGGAGAGAGAATGGTTTTACTATTTTGAGTACTCGAGAAGTATAGAAATGCTACCACGGAAACATAGTGTTTGGGGGACAGCACCAAATGAGAAAGCCATACACAGAAAGAAACTTACAAGTTGTCCAGGACAGGGCTTTCACAGCTCTGATAGCCTCTCAGGGAAACAGAGATGATGGGCCTTTGGGTGCTGAACACAAAGTTACCTTCAACACGAAGACCTCCACAGAAATTGAGAAAATTTTCTCTGAATGACTCCTGCTATTGGAAGGATCCAGAACTGTGCTGCCCTTGGACAGATCTAGGCCCGTCTGAGCCTTGGTGTGAGCCAAGCAGGGATCACTGAAGATGGGGACCCTTGTCCCCACCTTTTGATCCAACAAGGTCAGATGGACACCATCAAATGAGGTACAGGGAAGAGTCTTTCTTCAGGTCGTCAATAACAGATTGTATTTATTATCCCCTTGCTGTGTGCACGGGGCATTGCTAAATGCTTTGCGTATATTATTTTGTTTAGCTTTGATAATATCTCATTTTTCAGAGGGAAGAACTAAAGCTTAGAAAGGTTAAGTAACTTGCCAAGGTCATGTACCTCCTGGAGCGTTGGGGGACTCTGAGTCTGTTGACTGAACTTCTCCATATAATCAAGGAGGTGCTTGGGAGGTGTATTCACTTACCTCAGGGTTTGCTGAGGATAGAAATGATCCTCCTTACACTTTTTTTTCCCACTTAGCATCCACTTTATTTTTTTTTTAATTAAATCATAACTGTGTACCAGAAACCTCGTGAAGAGTAGAATTGATGGAATACGTCACAATCCTGGATGGTAATCAGTTAAATGGGTTATGAAAACCATCCATAGGTGGCTGGGCTTTCAGATAAATGTTAAAGATCTAGGCAATTTCCCACCTTTTATGGATGAATCCCAGATGGTTAAATGATGTGCTCCAGGTCGCATGGCTAGTTAAGAGCTGAACTTGTTTGTGAATTTACCTACTTGCCTAGGCTTATCTGTGACCCCAAAGTCAATACTCAACCATACACTTTCACCGTCATTCCCTGACTTGTGCAGAGTGGAGGGGACATGGATTTGATTCTACTGTGGTGCCCGCCTCTAGCTGAGGTCAAACAAGGCAACACTCTGCCTTCCTGGTTCTGCTCTCATACTATAAACATTTATTCCTTATGCGGCTTATGTAGTGTCGTGCGTTCACATTTGGGGGGTTTTATTGGTGATTTTGCTTTTTAAAACTTGCCCAAGGCCTCGCTCAGCTAAAAGGCTATAGAGTTAGAATGAAGGAATGAAAGGCAGACCCCCCTGCCTTTTCCCAGGAAAGCAGGGACCTTTGGGCACTGACATATCTAGGTCAGGATGAACTGCACAGGAGGCACAGGGCTGTCACTGCCCCACATTTCAGAGATGGGTGCTGACCAGACAAACTGCAGGAAAGTCAAAACCTCAAACAGGTATGTCCAGGTGGAAAAACAGACCAGAGTAAAGCAGTGAGGCCTCAGCTCCTTGGGTCTCTACTCAGGTGACATCTTCTCAGTCGGCCCTCCCACACCCTGTGTAAAATTATACACAGTTTAATTTAATCCTATATCTGTTCCTCCCACATTTTTTCTCTGTGGCACATACTACCATCTAACAGGATCCTGGCAGCTTTCTGTGCCTCCCCATTAGACATGTCAGCTCTATGCAGGCAGGAATTTTGACTGTGTTATTCACCACTGTCTTGAGCACAGTGGGTGCTCAGTAAATATTTGTTGAATGAATGAATGAATGAGTACAAGAGACTATATGAGAGTGAAGATTTAAAGTGGAGCCAGGAATTGCGTCTGGAACCATCTAGAAGGCAGCTATAGCAGGTTTTGATTGTATCACTGGGGATGAGGCTTTTAAGTTTTATCTAAGAATAAATGAAATGGATCACAGGAGTTTGTATCTTTCAGCTGTAAGTCAACGCAAACAAAATGGGGGACTTCACTGGCTCCTGTAAGGGAAGAGTGTAAGGGGCTGGTTTAGGCACAGGCAGCTCCAGGGTCAGTGCCTCTTTCTCTCCCCCTCTCTGGCTCTCCTGTCATTGGTACTGGCCTTGCTCTCAGGCATTGGCCTCATCTCTCTTGGAGATGGACCGCAGCACCTCTAGGATGACACCTCAACTCAGAGGCTCTTTCTCTTTCTAAGAAAGGTAACCAAAGTTCTGTCATCGAGTCTCACTGGCCCCAGTTAGGTCACGGCCCCATCTCTCAGGTAGTCACTGTGGCCATGGGAATGAGATTTTCCAGTTGGCCTCCCCTGTCACCTGCCCACTCTGAAGAGAGGGGTGGGGTTTCTTCTCACCTGAACCTCAGACTGAGAGAGGGGAAAGGTGCTTTCCTGGAACAATAGGGCATAAACGTTCGGTCCCAAATGTCAACCCGAGAGACTTGGTGTCCGGGATGTTACTGTCTCTTGAAATTTTCTTCAGAAAGAGTAGATGCATTTTGCTTTTGAGAATTAGTAATAATGACAATGATCAATTATCCAGTGATATTATTTGTTAGTACTCACATTAGGTACATAGAACTTCCCTTAATTGTATCTACACCCTACCAACAGTTATTCATTATTAACTCCTGTGACAGTTGCACAGAGAGGTTTCCTCTCTGAGGCTCAGAGAGGTTTACTAAATTGCCTGAGACACACAGCTAGTGAATGGCAGGGCCAGACACTGAGCAGTCTCTCCCTGGGCTTCTCCTCCATCGGTGCTCAGCCTTGAAATACTTCTGCACTCTTAGGCAAGGACTTCCTTGATATATGTTTTTCACTATCATCCCCTCTGGTTACCCCAGCCCCTCTCAGCTTGCCCTGCTTCCAGTTCTTAAGGGAAAACCTGTCTTTTCCCCCTGATCCCTGACACCTTACTTTTGAAAATAACAATGACTTCGCTTTGGTGTCCTTGGACAACTTGCAACTCTGAAAGGGCAGGAGAGACCTAGTTGGGAGCCCGATGATGATCTGTAACTCCAAGGTAAACAGTCTCACTGTGTCCCAGACTCTGTGTCCCCTGTTAGGGAAACAGGCCTGCAGCCCAGGGCATGGGCCCTGGCCTTTGAAGTCAGGATTTATTTGGTTTTCATTTGTTTTTGCTGTTCAGAACACAGCTTGTTCTTAGGTGGTTTACGAAAGTACTTGCCAAACTCATGGCTCTTAAAGTAGAGTTAGCTTCTATTCACCTGGGAAACTTATTAGACTCCAAGCACCTGGGCCTTTTCTTCTGCAAGAGACTCAGGATCTGTGAGGTAGAGTGTGGTATAGGTACTTTAATTAACAATTGCATACCAGAAACAGTCCCTGCACCCGCCCCCACAGGTATGCAGTAAGCTCAGAGTAAGTTAGCTCAGGTAGGTAAAGGATAAGGATCATAATTGCACATACTTTAGTGTGTATTTATCTTTTTGTACCCCCCTTGTGTCGATATTTATTACCTTTGATCTAGAATGTATTTACTTTTTATTTGACATATAAAATTTGTTTGTATTTTTGGTATACAAGATAACATTTTAATATATGTATACCTCGTGGAATCTTAGCATGTCTTTAAATCACTGATAACATCCCCAGAGCAGAAATATCAAATCCGATAAGTGCATGCCCATTCAACAACGGGGTCTCAAACTCCTGGCCCGCATATTAAATCCGGTTCAGCCCACAGGTATAATTGCTTTCGTTAAAATAATACAAAACACTGTGTTGCCTTAACGGAACTTAGATGCTTTTGTTTAGAAAGAGCATGCATTCTTTGGTTGTCTCAGCCCCCACTCTCACTGCTTCATTCCTGCAACTTTGCACCTTTCTGTCACTTGCCTGGCCCCTGAAGGTAAATGAATTCCCACCCTAGGTCAACAATTAGAGAGTTCACAGACAAAGCCAAGTGATTTCCCAAAGTTAAGAGCAAATCCTCAGTACAGTTGTGAAACTCGTTATCATTGCTTAACCAAATTGCTCTTGCCAAAACAATGTTTTCTCTATCAAACGTGAAATTGTCCTCCGTCAATAACTTGTGAAATCCAGCGGGCTTGCATTCCACCTGCTAACCTTGCCCGCATCCTCTGCGCTGCCCCTGCCTTGCTGGAGACATGTATTCTGTGCTCGTTTTCTAGTGGGCAGCCCATCCCTCGGGTGGAATACACAGAGGAAGAAAAGAAAACATGGGGTACCGTGTTCCGGACCCTGAAGTCCTTGTATAAAACCCACGCTTGCTATGAGCACAATCACATTTTCCCACTTCTGGAAAAGTACTGTGGCTTCCATGAAGATAACATTCCCCAGCTGGAAGACGTCTCCCAGTTCCTGCAGTGTAAGTCTCCAGGGCCAAAGGCCCAGCAGGAAGCGGGGGAGGGAAAGGGCAGAGGGCAGGGAAGGGGGCAAAGTGTACACAGAGGTGAGTCCCCGGAGGGAAGTATGGGCGTGAGTGCTGGTGGGACTTGTGCAGCGTGATGCTCCCACAAAGAACTGAATTTCACTGGGCTGTGCCTTCCCTCTCACTTCTGCCCTTAACTTACTTTCATCCAAGCACAGGCATCAGGTGTGGACTTGTGTGGATACATAATGCCCGGAAAGTATTTTCTTTCACACTTCAGGCCCAGGGTGCCCACTCAGGGTTCTCCCTGCAGCTCCCACTGTGTTACGAGTGGTCCACAGAGGGTGCATGTCTAAGAAACGTGCTGTCTGTGTGGGCAGTACCAAGAGCCCCCAGCTCTGCGTCTGTGCATCTGCTGTGAATCCTGTCTTTGACCCTCTCCAGCTCGATGGACTTGCCCCAGTTTTGCCATCTGTCCAATGGGGACTGTCAACTCCAGCTTTTGTCATAGGGAAACTGTGAGAATGAGATGAGATGTTGCATAGGAAAGCACCCAGCATGGTGCTGCGTGTATACTAGTGAATTGGGGCTGAATTGGAATCTGAGTAGCTCAGGAGGTCCATGCACCATCTGGGTGGGGAGCCTCTGCGCAGCACTTCTAGGGGAGTGTTAATTCAGGGTGCTGATTCAGCCAAAACAAAACCATCAACGGACACATATTGAACACCTACTATGTACCGGGTAGAATGAGAAAAAGTAGGAAGACAGACCACAGGTTACAGAAATAAGGAATTTCCTACACATCAGAGCTATACAGAGGGTAGATAGTTCTGGGGCAGTCGCCAGGGAAAACCCACAGTAGGGAGGGAGGTTATAGCCGGGTTACATCGGGTTATGTTGGGAGTGGGCTAGATGATCTTCTGAGTCTCTGTCATTTAGAGAGTCTTTACTCCTCAGATGAAGAGATGTGAGAATTTAAGCAGAGTGAGCTTCAGTTTGGGGACACACAGAACATGAGAGAAGACCCAATGGGTCCTAAAGACAATCTTTAAGCTAATTACCTATATTACATTGGCCAATAATGAGAAAAAAAATCATAATACTACAAGTTGGAAAGTTGTATAATAGTAATTAAGAGAACAGACTCTAAAGTCGGACTGCCTGCCATTGGGCTCTTGGACCAGAGCTTCCCCATCTGTAAAGTGGGCACAATAAGACTGTCTACCTCATAGGGTTATTGTGAGGATAAGTAGTCCATATAAAGTGTGTAGAACAGTGTCTGACATATGGTAGGTAATCTATAGTGTCAACAACCACAGGGACAAGGACAAAACACAAATACAGACTAGCCAGGGGAAGGGAAGACGAGGAAGAGGGGTAGGAGGAGGAGGAGGGAGACTGGAGAGAGGAGGGAGGGCAGTTGGCGGGATCTCACCTAATGTGCATGATCTGAGGGTGTGCCCCCTGGGTGAAGGGCTCAACTACAACTTGAACTTCGCCTTAGAAATGAGAACACTGTAACCTAAAAATCTGCACCCTCACATTAAAATAAATAAATATATATGTATATTTAGTGTTGTAACATATATGTACATATATACATATATAATATATGTGTAATATTATATATATTGTTATCAGTATACAAATTGTTATCATTTTCCCTGTCATTATTCTTCTCCTTCCAAGTTTGGGACAAATTAAGAGACAGCTATAGGAATCAGAAAGATGGTGATCTAAATGTCAGCTGAAAAAAAAAAATAAAAAACTTGTGTAGATAATATGATCTAGATACACAGCCAAATGGACTTCCTAGTATTTGTCTCTTGAACAGGTAAACTTACCTGCCCATTCATACATAACATTGTCAACTTTATGGCCAAGGTCGTGCCCCTCGGTTGACAATTGAGAGGAAAAGAGAAAGGGTTAAATAGAGAATATTCATTTCCTCTTCCCACATGGTCCAACCAGACAAGTCATTGTTCCTCATGGTGTGGTCTGTGTGAAGTGCAGTAAGAAACAGGAAGTGGTTCTTTCATACTTTTCCCTTCTGGGAAATGTAGTGAAAAATCTCTCCCTACTCTGGAAACAAGAGAAGTAAGTAATAAATGTTCCACCCTAACAAACGGTACTGAAAGCTAAATTTACTGGAGGTTTCTAATGAGCCAAGCTCTGTGCTAAGTACTTTACAGTATTAGCCCTTTGGGTTCTTGGAATATGCCTAAGAAGTGTCTATCCACAATTTACAGATAAACTGAGGCTCAGAAATGTTAATTTACTTGGTCTAAATCACACAGGTAGAAAGCAAAGGATCAGAGATTTGAAGTCAAGCCTAGTGGGCATGTTTCTGGGGAGTTGGGCGGACCACTTCCTGGCCTGAAGGTCTATCATGCTTCAAATGACTTGGAGTTTTCTTTTCTTTTCTTTCTTTCTTTTTTTTTTTGTTTCCCAGCTTGCACTGGTTTCCGCCTCCGACCCGTGGCTGGCCTGCTGTCCTCTCGGGATTTCTTGGGTGGCCTGGCCTTCCGAGTCTTCCACTGCACACAGTACATCAGACATGGATCCAAGCCCATGTACACGCCTGAACCGTGAGTACTGGCCTCTAGCTACCAGCTGCCAGGTGCAGCAAGTGCCATTTCTTCCTACTCTAGGAAGGAGGTTTGGCTTCATTGCTGGCCAGTCTATACCACTAGTGGCCTGGATCATTTGATGGCAGAAAGATTATCATCTACTCCTGAATATTTTATCTGTCCAAAAAGACCAGACCAATTGGGAATTCAGGCACCCTGTGATCCAAGGATTCAGAACTCCCCTAGCAGTGGAAATAAGAGGAGCCACTCAAGTTCCAAAGTCAGAGCTATGAAATTACAAATGGCCACAAGAACGAGTGATAGCCAAACTCTCTCAACACCTCCTTAATACCCATTTAGTTGATTCTGATCTTTTCTCATCTAGATTGTGGTAGAGAATGGCCACTCAACTATGCTTCTTACGTTGGTGTTTAGCCATCTCCTTAGTCAAATAAAACGTACACAGTTTAAACAAAAAAATGAGTAAAACACTCCCAAATTATTTTTCCATGCCTACTCAGTTCATTACTACAAATCAGAAAAGACCTGTTGCAAACGGATGGGGCATCTGAAAGGAGAAATAAATGTAGCTTTTCTTCCCTAACTGCTACCCCCTTTCAGATTAGAGAAGAGCAGCACTGTTATTTGTCTTAGTTCCTAATGGAAATCACTGAGCATACTGTACCTACCCAGGGAGGTTGTTACCAAGGAGAAGACTCAGGATGAAAAGTGTCTGAGACCCACAGCTCACTGAGGTCTTTGGGAGGACGTTCATGAAAATATTAGCTCTCCCACCCCACACCCCACTGAGTATATTCCTAAGACCCCTGGCTAAGGTGCCCTGTCCCTTATTTTTCTTTTCCCTGTGTCCTTTTCTCTTATACCATGTCTCATCCCACCCAAGCTCTGCGGATCACTTCATCCTGGGAGAGCGGTCCTAAGTCCACAAGTCACTTCCTTTCTTCCTGCCCATTCCTCATGTAAAAAGACTGGACCTGGCTTAGCTTAATCCTCCTTCCTCTGTGCTTTCTGGCTTTCAGTGACATCTGCCATGAGCTGTTGGGACACGTACCCTTGTTTTCGGATCGCAGCTTTGCCCAGTTCTCCCAGGTAATAAGGAATGGATCTCGTTAGCCTTCGAGTTAGCGGGCTGGGACCTGGATTGCTCAAACGAATTGAGCCCATGGAGGGACCCTTCCCCTCTGCAAGAACAAAAACAGACTCCACCTCTGATGGGTGTGTCGCTAAATCCACCTTTGTGTTCTGTGATGCTAAGTACCCATCCCAGAGATGACAGCATGGGCTTGGTGAATTGATCATCCTCTTGGTGAATTTGCTAATCTCACTTGCCCTATCAGACGTAGTTTAAGAGCCTGTCATCCACAAAAATCTCCCTGCAGAACTTATCTCACCTGCTTCCCCTCAGCCTTTTAAAAGCTGTTGCAACTTTCTACCTTTTCAGTCATTTATGATGCCTATATATATATATAAAGAAGATGATATTCACCAAGAATCCAATGCCAATAGCCTAATGTATGGTTGATAAAAGAAAAAAAAATGAGGGGTCAAGCTTGGTGGCTCATGCCTGTAATCCTAGCACTCTAGGAGGCCAAAGCAGGATTGCTTGAGCTCAGGAGTTTGAGACCAGACTGAGCAAAGGTGAGACCCCATCTCTAAAATTAGCAAAATTCGCTGTCCATTATGGTGGGAACCTGTAGCCACAGGAGGCTGAGACAGGAGGATCTCTTGAGCTCAGGAGTTGAAGGTTGTAGTGAGCTATGCACTCTCCCCAGGGCAACAGAGCAATACTCTGTCTCCAAAAAATAAACAAACAAACAAAAACAAACTTGAGCCAATTGTCTCATCACCAACATCAAATCAGCAGCCTAGACTCTGGCTCATCTTTCACACTAGTGAACAGGCCCAAATCATGTTTTGGGATGACTGAGAGAATTCTACTAGTGCCAGGCACTAAAAGGCAGCCTAGAGCCATGACGGGTTGGGTTCATGGGAGGGTTACATGTAGGCTCTGATGCACCCACAGGCCCCACCCCTACCAGCTATATGTCCCAGGGCTTAATCCCAGCCACTCTGTGCCTCAGTTTCCACAGATGTGGGTCAGTCAAAAGCTCTGCCTGCTAGTCCTCTTCTTCCAGGAAGAATCCAGGATCAAGAGGAATGACCCATGAGCAAAGGCTGGGCCAAGTATAAATTTCAGAGCAATGAGATTGTACATGAATTTTATAAACATTTTCCCCCAGCTGAAAGAAATATCAATATTTCCATGTTGAACAATGAGGCTTCCATATTGGAAACAAGCAAAAAGCTGAATACATTGCTTGCTAAGAAAGGGAGAATTGTCCCTTTACCTGAAGGAGAAATGTCTCTTTACATGAAGAGAACTGTATGAAGAAAGGGAGAATTGTCCCTTTACATGAAAGGGAGAAATGTCTGTTTACATGAAGAGAACTGTTACTTTTACATGAGATTTATGGAACTACAGGGTTCAAAGATTGTTGGACTTTTAGAAGTGGGAGTGTTTAGGGATTAGCTTTTACTTTAACTGGAAGTGTTACCACTGACATTCAGAAGTGTGGTTACTGCTACCAAGTTGCCATTAATATCATGGGAATATTTTTAAAAAGGAGTTGTTACTAGGACCAAAAAACAGTCAGATTTTTCCTTGGACAATAGGAATGTCTTACTGCCACAGCTATTCTACACAGTCAGAGAGTAAGTGGTAATTTTCTGTAAACTGTTTCTATTTGGGGAGTGAGCAGTGCCAAAAGACAGGAGCTATTGGGTCAGCATTGCCACCTGGTCCCAACTTCGACTAGGACAGTCCTAAGTCAGGGAGTCATTGTGAAAGTCCCTGAGACTATTCCTTCTTGATCTAAAAGCAAGACTGTGTGTCCTACCTTTGAAATAAGTGATGCAATCTGACCATTTCAGTTGAGTTTACTGCTACCAACCTGGTCTCAGCTATTATCGTTTCTCATCCTGGTGAGTGTGTAGCCTCCTCTCCGGGGTCCTGCCTCTCTCTTGAAGCCTTAAAGTCTATCAGTGTCTTGCTCCGTCTCCCCCCCTACAGTCTCTTCTCACACACCAGCCAGAGTGAATCTTTGATAACATGAGTCAGATCATGACCACCTGTCTGCTCATAAGCCTGCTACATTTCCCTGGTTCACTGAAGGAAAAACCCAAGCTCTAAAATGTCTACAATTGTTCTACACCATCTGGCTCCAGATCCCTCTTTGCTGCCACCTGCCACTCTCCCATATTCCTGCTAACTCTGTTCCAGCCTTCCAGCCACACTGCTCCCTTCCTGTTCCTTGAACCAACCATCATTTCCCTTCCTTGGGGAGCCTTTGCACTGGCTGTATGCTCCCCTCAGCTGTCAACTGAACCAACAACCCCACTTCTATCGAATACCTCCTCCTCAGTGATGTTTACACTGGAACCCTATTGAAAACCACAGCCTCCCTACATCCCCTGGAACTTCCAATCTGCCCTGTCCCTTTCTCCTTTGGTTTCTTCTTTCAGAAGAACATGTCTCCTTCTCACATATCTGTATATAAGGGCATTGTTTTTCTGTCTCTACTAAGAACCACAGGATCAAGTACTTTCATTCAATAGATACTCCTCAAATGAATGAGGGAAGACACACACACACACACACACACACACACACACACACACGGCAAGCAGAAGAAAATGCCATATAGAGACCAAAAGACCACTAGAAGAATTCTGCAGTTAGGGCTCCAACGGGAAGTGACCCATGATATATCAGACTCCCCAGCTATGCACATACCTGATGGGTGTCAACCGCCTATCCACAGTCCTGTGTGGGGTTTTCAGGGTATGTGATTGAGACTCATCCAGTCCTCTAGGAATGTTCCCCTGGTGCTCTGGGAGAATAATCACTGAGCCGGAGTCAAGAGATAAAGCATTAGACACTAACCGTGTGACCGTGAGCAGGTCACCTTCTGTGACCTGCTTCAGTTCTCTGTGCCTCAGTTTCCTCCTTTGTAGAATGAACACAAAGAACCAAGTTCTGGTGAAAGGTTTGCTCTGCTCTAGAAATATGTGCTACTATAATAAGTGGCCACTGGCAGAACATTCAGGGTCTTTCTGGGCTCTACTGAATGCATCTGGCCACCATCATCTCCCCATGGTCAACTGCCAGGTTGGTACTGAGGGCAGAGCTTAAAGATGGGCAGGCTCCAGCTGTGCCAATAACTGTTTCCCTGTGATTTCAGGAAATCGGCCTTGCCTCTCTGGGCGCACCTGATGAGTACATTGAGAAACTCGCCACAGTAAGTCCCTTCTCTCTCTGAGTGGATGGTGGGGGTGCTGCAGGCTGTGGCCCTTGGGTCCTTGAGGCTTCTCTCTTCCCCTGGAAGCCAGGTCATTTGGAGAAAAAAAATCAGAATGTGTTGGGTTTCATTCGCACAAGTGAAACTTCACAATTTTGATTTCTCCTTAATGGCTGGATTCTGAAATCGGTGGGATATAGATGTATAGACAAATTTTAAACAGAGTATCTCAAAAACACTAAACAACTGTAAATAACAGTTCTTGAAAGCCCTTGGGTGCAGAGTGTGTATGTATGTAAAGCACAGAGTGCGAATTCACAGCCTTGGAGAGGGCATATTCACATCTCTTCTTAGAACCAGAGCTTACATTAGGGTCTTTCCTTTCTGAGACACAGGTAAAGTGGGGATGGGTGCTGTATATATATCTATGGAGAGAGAGAGAAAGATATAAGAATCTAAAGTATCACAGATATATATATAGAGAGAGAGATAAGTATCAGATGGATGGATGGATGGATAGATAGATAGATAAGATACAGAGGGACAGAGAGAGAGAGAACCAGAAAGGTCAGGGGCATGGCTCAGTAAAAGTCGGAAAGCCCTGGAACAGGGAAGCCAAATGTCCAACTCTTGGTGAGGCCAAAGGCCTGAGAACCCAGGGGTAAGGGGAGCCTAGTTTAAATCCTGGAGTCCAAAGGCCAGAGATCCTGGAGTTCTCATGTCCAAGGGCAAGAGAAGAAGGGTGTCCTAGCTCTCAGACAGAGAGAGAGAGGAAGAGAATTTGGCTCTCCTTTGCCTTTTTGTTCCACCCAGGACCCCAGCCAACTGGACAGTGCCCACCCACACTAAGGGCAGAACCTCCCCACTCATTTCACCAACTCACAAGCTGATCTTCTTGAAATAACCTATAGACACATCCAGGAATAATGCTTAACCAGCTATCTAGGTATTCCTTATCCAGTCGAGTTGACACATAAAATTAGCCATGCAGGTGTGCTCTCAGCTTAAATTTCCATTCCAGATTTACTGGTTTACTGTGGAGTTTGGGCTCTGCAAACAAGGAGACTCCATAAAGGCATATGGTGCTGGGCTCCTGTCATCTTTTGGTGAATTACAGGTATGACCCTGGAATCAAGAACAGATTTGAAAACAGTGGGTACAGGAGACCATTACTGTTCTTTTGACAACGTAGGGGCTCATTCTCCAGCAACTGATATCTCAGCACCAAGTCATGGCTGTGGGTGTTCATGATAGAAATTTAACTGCACCGCACAGGTGCCTGGGCGGGAGGGCCTCCCCCCATACAGGTTTGTATGGAAGCAAACATGTGCCAGGAAACGTGCTTCGCTCCCACGCTGTTTATGGATCTACCTTCCTCAAAAGAGGTCAGAATGTATTACTTGCTATCTTGGCTGGAGATTTTAGATGAGCTGTGAAGAGTAGAATCTATTATCTACAAAATAATTCTGGCTGCATTTGGGCTGGGATGTCAAAGGAATGAGCGTGAGATGAGCGCAGGTGCATCAGTGACCTGTGGGATGTAGCAGGGGCCACTGATCCTGGCTTAACCATGGAAACTTTTCCCCTGGGGCCCGCAGTACTGCTTATCAGATGAGCCGAAGCTCCTGCCTCTGGACCTAGAGAAGACAGCTGTCCAAAATTACAGTGTCACAGAGTTCCAGCCCCTGTACTATGTGGCTGAGAGTTTCAGTGATGCCAAGGAGAAAGTGAGGTAAGGTGGTGACCAAGATGAGCCATTAGCCCTGTGGGCCTCCTGGCTCAGGCTGGTGCCACTCATCTGTTGGGGGGGGGGGTGGCCAGAAGAGTGGACGCCAATACCCACAGCAACTTTGCGTGGCAGACAGAGCCTCTCACTTTCTCCACCCTCCACTTTCTACCATCTGCTGGGAGGCTGGATGTGCTGACCCCTGGAGACAAACCCTGCCTCCTGGTCCCTGTTCAGCATAGCCGCCAAGTCTAGTCACTGAACCCTCCCGGGCACAGAATGGCCACTACTGATGATATTCACTCATGGGGTGAAAAAATGCCAAAGAGCAAGGTTCAGACAAAACACAGAGGGGACCTGGGAAATCCTGGGGATTCCCTGGAAGCACCCAGCTAAGGGAAACCAACTCTGACCGTTGTTGGTTTCCAGATTCAAGTTCTAGGCAGAGGTTTGATTGGCTGGGCTGGGGTCACATTCTAACTCCAGGCCAGAGGAGGACTGTCCCTGGGACTGACAGCCTGACAGATATGTCTACAGCATAGGGGCAGATTGCCCACAGCAAAAGTGAGGCAGGGGCTTTATAGAAAGAAGAGGAAGAGGTATGGGCCAGACAAAGTTACAGATGTAGATCTACTGGGCTGAGGAAGAGGAGGTGAGAGCTGCACTTGGCCATTGGTTCTTCATGAAAGATAGTAACTAATACAGAACACTCACTCCACACTGTAACAGCACTCACTACAGCCCTCTGACATAGGTGTTGCTGCCAACCCAATTCTACAGAAGAACAAGGAAACAGGGGTGCTGCCAAGTGAAGTCCCTTCCTCATGGCTACGGGCAGGCAGCAGGCAGAGGCAGAATTTCAGCCCAGGCAACCTGACGCCAGATCTTGGGGACCACACTTGCCAGATTTGGAGGGCCCTTCTCTTTCCCTTACTGTGGTCTTTTCAGCACAGCAGCAGCTTCTATTTCCACCAGGGCCCAACTTAGAAGTAGCATCTGTGATGACTTGGGAGCATCCTTTCAATTAAATTGTTTGATTGTCCCTCACAGAAGCACTCATGGCAGATTCCTCCCAGATGTGGGAGTAACGCATTGGGAGGGCAGGAGTGCAAAGAGTGCAAGCTAGAGTCACTGCCTGTGTCTCTTCCCAGCATTATTGGCAGTGTGGCCTTAGTGGTCACATAGCTTTCCCAAGCCTCAGTTTCCTCATCTGTAAAATGGGGACAGTAACAGAACCCACCTGCTAAGGCTTTTGTGAAGGCTAAATTAGGAATGACATCTGTTATAGAGCAGTTAGAACTTAACATAGCTCTTGGTATATAGAAGGTGTACAATCCACATTAAATCCCATCATCAATATAGTGCTTGCGAACAACTCTATTTCCCTCTATGAGTTACTTGTCAAGCATTTCAGAGATTTTTTTTTCTATAGCATTCTTTGGCTAGACTTTACTCTTTTGGTTTTATCTAATGATAAGAGCTGATGGCTTCACAGTCTGCTGTGCTTTTATTGTAAACTAACTTGGTCTTTTTGGAGCTAAGTGACTAAATAAACATGTGTATATATGACTTGGTGCGTACACACATACGCACAAAGACCTTCTGAAAGGACTCTTTAAAACTCCATTTCCCTTTCTCAGCCTGGCTTCTGAAGCCCTTGTTCTAGTGAGGTGTCTGTGCTACCCACAGCAAGGTAAAATGCCACTGAGAAAGCTCTTAAAATTGGTTTTCTGCAAATGGTGTCCATCACTCAGGCCTATGGTTTTGGTTTCAGGAACTTTGCTGCCACAATCCCTCGGCCCTTCTCCGTTCGTTATGATCCATACACCCAAAGGATTGAGGTCTTGGACAATATCCAGCAGCTTAAGATTTTGGCCGACTCCATCGACAGTAAGTAATTTACTCCCTATGAGGCCACTTTCGTGCTTAGTAACAGAGGCATGATAAGAAGTGTACTAAAGATTGCATTAAGGAGAAATGCATTTCCATGCAAGCCATGGGTTCATTGAGGATGAAGAACTTGGCAAAAATGCCAGAACTGTCTGAATGTCCTCTCCCCTTTGACCTTCCACGATTCCACCTCTGCCCTGACCCACATACACATTTCCACACCTGGCTCCTCCCCCAACCACGTTCCTTTTTCTTCTTCGCTTCTGCATCCTAGTTGGTATCAGCCTGCCTGGTTCCATCTACTTTATAAACCACCCAGTGGCTCATCCATGGGCCTCCACTCTTACTTGATGAGGCTATTATAACATTTGTTCTTAAACCACAGGGTTATCTTGTTCATCCCTTGATTCTCTCTCTAGCCTTTCATACTCTCTTCCAAGTCAACATTGATTGACTTTTAGTTCCCATGCTCCCTCCTGGCTCCCAACCTGTGCCCATGCAGTTCTTTATGCTTAAAATTCTCTCCTTCCCGCTCCCATTTAGAGACACCCAACTCCATTTCATCCTTTAACTCTTACGTAGGTATCTCTTCTTGTAGGAAGACAGGTTTGGATGTCCTTCCTGTGTCTTTGCATGCCTACAGATCTCTCTCTCAGAGAACCTATCATATTGTTTCCTTGTCTGTGTCACCAACTAGACCTGAACAAAGGACCAGTCAGTTTTACTGTCAAATCCCTAGGACATAGCCCTATTTCTAAAAATTATATTAGGCACTCAAGGGCTGTTGAAAGAATGAATAGAACTTCCAAAGAGGGGAGGCTGAAGGGAGAAACTCTAGGCCAAGTGGGGTGTCCCTGCCTCATGCAATGCCAATGAAGGCCAAAAGGGTAGGCAAACTCTAACACCCCTGGGTCCACTTCTAACCCTGACCATTATGGTCATTCCTCATTAGATGTGGCCACCTGTGATCAGGCATTTTGACAATGTCTAAAATTGGACATCAACCCTAAAAATGAACATGATGTTACCAGTAATAAGTTTCAAGGCTGAAACTTCCCTAAACTACCAATAATGAAAAAGAATTTTTCATTAACCAAGCTAAAGACTAAATAATCCTTCTGTTCATTCTATGGAAAATAACAATATTGTTGCATCCAAAGATGATTAGAGCGTAAAGTCCACAAAAGTAGAGTAAAATGTATTCTAGATATGGGATAAGCAGTTCAAATTTTAATTTAATTTTTCATTTTAAGCTGTTTGTGGGATTTTTTTAGCTTTTTGATAAACATGATTTGTTGTTAATTAAAAAAAAATGTCCAAGGCTGATTCGTCCTGAGAGATTCTATCTTACACCCTCAGCTGGAGTAAATTTGTTCACTGAAGAAGCCATCCAGGTGCTTCAGCATTAGGATGTAAGACAGAGGGGTCAGGCCATAGCTATTTCTTTTTTTTTCTTTCTCATTGTTCCTAGAAAGCACAAATAACTCTGTAGATTATGATAGGAGGTTTTTAAAGTCAGAGAACAAGTTTATAATAAATAAATTCAGGAAGCAAAGGGGCTTCAGGGTGATGTGACCTTATGTAAGACCTCACTGCCTGAGGCCACCCTGTGGCCTCCTCAGGTACAGGGGAGAGTAAGACTCGTGCATTTCCAAGGCCCTTTCTACCTTTATGAAGAGTCTATGCCTCCACGGCCCCTTGACATGTGAGAACATGGCCTAAATGGAAGTAGCTACATTTCACTTCCGTCCTAGCCATGTGGGCTGGGTTATCTGCTTAAAGCATGCATCCTCAAACTTTGGCGTGTATCAGGATCACTTGGAAAGATAGCTAAAAAATTAATGGTGCTAAGTCATAGCCCCCAACTAAATTTACCAAATTCATGTCTACTTCTTGGGAATTTGTAGACCCTCGGTGATTCTGACACCAGAGATTCGTGCGAACCATACTTTTAGGTTCAATTACTCAGTTCCCTGAAGCATCTGTTAGATAGATGTTGAAGACAAACAGCAGCTAGTGAGTGCCTGGAGAGAAACCCATTAAGTCCTTCCCTGGGAAATGGCCTATAGAAAGAGGAAGCTAATTATATTAGCAGCTCTACTACTCACTAGGTACCTAAACCATAACTGCCCAAACCTATATTTATAACTTAAATTGTAAGCTCCTTGAAGGTTGGTGTGGCACGTTTATCCATGCAGCCTACTGCTCTCCTAGAGATTTCTATACTGTGGACACCTGAAGGGTGCTTGTTCTTTATTGGAGTTATCTTATTTGGGCATTTTTTTTTCTTTATAGGTGAAGTTGGAATCCTTTGCAGTGCTCTCCAGAAAATAAAGTGAAACTATGGATAGAACATGATGGGGATCCAACCATTTTTTTTTCATCAGAAAAAATCCAATTTGCAAACATTAATTTGAAATAATAGCCTTACATCTTTTTGGAAGAAGATAATAATCATCTGAAAATTATTAATAATTTAATCTGAAATGACAACATATTAATACATACCCAAAAGCATAATGGTAGATCTTTTGGGGTCATCTTTGATTTTGAGAAGATAATTCCATACTCTGAATTGAGTTACATCAATGATCTGTCACATTTCCTGAGATTGATTAAAATTGAGACCTGCTTCATCCAAGATTCATGTGTACTTTTGTTATTTGTCATAGGGAACTCATGAAAGAGTACATATGGATGAATGTAAAACAAGAGACTGTTATTAGAACTGAGTTATTTGGTTTAATATAAATCTTGGCCAACAAAGTTGAGTTAACTATGACTCCAGCTACTACTTTATTATTGTGCCTATGAAGATTTCCTTTAATCGACGAGCCCACTAAAATAGTTACAGACATTTTCTATAGCATTATATAAAAACATTTCTGTATTTTTTTTTCTTTGTAATCACAAATACTGCTGACAAGGTAATGGAACTTCCCACCCCATCCCCACAACTTCCAGTATCATTTTCCAGTTAATCGTCAAGTCTGTTTTAGGAGACATTTTGGATACAACCATGATGCATCAGATGTTGACTAAAGACCTAGTTGGTAGATACTCAGTAAATATTCATTGAATAAAGAAGTGAATATAACATTTTAAAAAAGGAAGTCCACTATAAAGTGAGAATTTTGTGTTGGAAGAAAACGTTATTAGGTACCAAATTGCAAATATTAGATACAGTTGAGACAGCACTGACCATAAATTCTTGCTCTCCCAGTTTCCTATCTCCAGAGTACTTGGCCCTTAGAAATTATAAAATCCATCTATCCTCTCAAAAGTAGGCATTCTTCCCACATCATCCCCCAAACATGGCTGCTCCGTCTCTTCCCAGCACCTCACGTCTGTCTTTAGGCATAGGCGCTGACCATGCGACAGACGAACCACTGGCTGTTAGCACCTACCATCTGAGTACATGTCAGGCACTTCAGAGACATTTTAACTCATTCGGTATCTTATAACATCTCTATAAGGAGGTAAGAATGACCATGTCCACTTTATGGAGGAAGCTGAAATGTAGAAGCGCTGGGTCACTTGCCCAAGATCACACTTGCCCGTTCTCTCTGATTCCTAGGCCCACGTATTACCCGTGCTCTAGCTGCCTCCCTCAAGCAAATGACCTCACTGGCAAATAAATAGGGAACCAGACATTAATCTAGGTCAGGTGTTTTAACAGTAGATTGGACCCAGAGCTACTACTTCCAAGATGAAGTTTTGCATAGTAACCCATTTGGGGAGATTCTAAATGTTAGAAAATGTTCCTTATATCGAGTGAAAATAGACCTCTCCATAATTTTTATATATTGGTGTTTCTAAACTCTCTGGGTTTATAAAAAACAAATTATTCTTCTTCTGTGAGATTATATACATATATATACACATATATTTTGGCAGTTTTTTGGCTGGGGCCGGGTTTGAACCCGCCAACTCTGGTATAAGGGGCCGGTGCCCTACTCCGTGAGCCACCGGCACCTCCCTAGGAGATAACATTTTAATATTTAAAAGTACTTTTATGCCATTTCCTTACTCTTTCCTCCCTAAGGCAATCTTAAAATAAGATGACTTTGAGAATTTTCACTACTAAATGGGTCCACTGACCTGGTGGGTTTGTAAACTTTTTTCCTTTAGTTTCTTTCCTGTTACTTTAAAAAAAAAAAAAAACGTGTTTCACTAAAATAAACATGAGGTATCATGGGGTATTAACGTACATCAAATAATATACAGTTACCCTCCTGGCCATGACATTATCTCCAAAAGCTTACAAGTAGGAATTAAAAACCACGCCCTGCCAATACAATTATGGCCTCCTATCAGAAAATGGCCTGGAAAAAGCTACGATACAGCTCACAAGTCTTTTGTTTTTACTTTTATAGCTGTCATGATTAACACTAAGGCTATAGTACTTCTATCACATGGTAAATACCAGTAGGTGCTTATATCAGCAAAATTCAAGGAATGCCTTACGACATTCCAAACGACAAATATTTCAGGTGAAAGGTCTAAACAGAGCTGTCTCCAAACAGTCTTGTTTCTGAAGCACCCTACACTAATCTAATCAAGCTCACTAATCTAATCAACGGCAGGGAGGGAGGTCTTAATAGTCATGCTTGAAGGGAAGCTGCATTGAGGAGGGAGAAAAAGAAAAACCGGGCCCAAATGACCTGAAAATCCACATCACTGATTCTAGTCTGCACTGCAAGGCGGGAGGCAAATTCTCTCCTAGGTGTGGCTGCATAAAGCCAAATACTCTCTCCCCAGGGCACCAGTGGGCTGCCACCTCTGCCTGCCTCCCAGGGCCCAGCCTTAAGGTGGCAGATGAGCATAGATCTCCTGCTGAGGGCCAGTCAGGGCCAAGGTGACAGGGCATGCCCCTACCTTCTGTGTGCATAGTGTGAGCAGGGACCTCCTGGTGGGACTTGAGGGGGCCCAGAACATACCCTGACCTTGGTCCAAAAAATATTCCCCCTATTAATTTACCATGCATGCTTAGAACTTATGACTTTTCCATTTTCAAGGTACTTTTGCTTTTATTTCCTTATAGTGTAAATTCCAAGCCCTCAGGAAAAGAAAAGCAAAATGGTCAAAACCATTTCCCACAGTCAAAATTTCTAGTTGGCTTGGAAATCACCTCGCGGTTAACACAGCTACCCTGAGAGGAAAGGATAAACTTTATCCTTGAAAACTGAGGGAAAAAATGGATAGAGTGCCTAGGAGCGCTCTCCTCCTTGCCCTCCCCGACATACACACGCACACACAGGTAAGTCACCAGATTCCACCTTAGGCCATCAAATGCCCAGGTCCATTCATTGGAGATGATGGCCAACAACATTTATCTTACATGTACGGGAGGGCAGTGGCCAAGGGTCCAGGTTCTCTACCATTCCACAGTATAAATGTTCCAGATGGGCTCTCATTATTGCAAGTTAGTGACAAACGTCTTAGCCTAAACACGGTTTCTTGGACAGGTCAAATCAGGGAAGGTGAGGTTCTTACCACATCCTATTCACAGAGGAGCAAGTTGAGGTGGTAAGACAGGGCTTGCTCATGACCACCACCCACAGACCTAGCAGAGGTCATGACCACCACCCACAGCACTAGCAGAGGTAGCTTCAAATTGAAGTCACCAAATACACTGAAAGGTGTATTTTTTTCATTATGTCACACATGCCCTTACCTGAAAGCCCAGCTTGGTTTATTCCATAGCAAAGAAAGCATCTAGTCTGGGCCCTTTGGAAGGAAGAATTCTCCCTTATACCTGTGGCTGTCAAAATTTAATAATCAAAAGAATCACTTGGGAGCTTATTAACTAACCATGCTGAACCTAAGTGGGGTCTAGACCAGCATTCCTTAAACTTCCATGTGTACACAAACCACCGAGGGATCTTGTTAAGATGCAGATTCAGGCTCAGTAGGTCTCAGTGGGGGTGAGACTTGACATCTTTAACAAGTCCCCAGGTAAGGCTGATGCTGTTGGTTGGTGGACCGTACTTTTGAGTTGCAAGAGGCGAGAGTTAGCCAGCTTGAATCCCAGCTCCACCACTGACCAGCTGCATAATATCTGGCAAGTTACTTGCCCTCTCTGTGCCTTAGGTTCTTTATACATAAAAAATGTGTATCAATACAGCTACCTCATGGAATTGTTTGAGGATTACATGACACAATTCAGGTAAGTCACTTAGAACAATTTCTGGTATAATCAGAGTGGTTATTACTGTTATTATATTGGTAAGTTTTTGGCATATTATGAGCTTTCAATAAGTAAATAAAAACGATTAGTGTTATATTTTCCCACTACCTTACATTTATTCATCTTTCCCCAGTCCTATAGACCTATAACTTCTTCTGGAAGTGAATTCTAGAGCCAGCACTTCCATGTATATTTGTTTCAGTGACTGATGCTAACTTGATGCTTAAAACAGTTATGATTTATTACATCTGCAATTCTATGAGTGATTGAGTTCAGCCAGGCGGTTCTTCTGCTCTACCTAATATAGCTGAGGTTGCTCATGCACCTGGGAGCTCAGCTGGGTGCAGTGCTATCGCTGAACAATCCAGGTTAGCCTTTTGTACCCTGGGGAGCCTCTCTCTCCACGTGGTCTCTCAGCATTCAGTAGTCTAACTAACACAAGCTTTTTTTTTAATAGCATGATGGCTGGCTTCCCAGAGTGAGTGTTCCAAGGGGGGAAACCCCAGAGTGCAAGCACATATCATTCCATTCACTAATATCCCATTGGCCCAAGCAAGTCACATGGCCAAGCCCAGCATCCAGGGGGAGGGACTACACAGGAGTGAATACCAGGACCTATGCTTCAGAGGGAGCCACCCAGGAGGTCTACCATGATGAACTCACCTGATTATAAGCCCTTTCAAGACAAGCTCATCTACTACATGTACCATTTCAGTCCTGTTGCTGAATATACCTGGTTCTCCCAACCACCCTGAGAAGCAGTTAAAGCAAAAGCATTCTCCCTGTCCTCAGGTGGCTGTGAGAGCTTGAGCACATCCTGCTAGTTAGGGCCTGCTGCCCAGGACCCAGGCTCCAGCCATCATTACTTCCTCTCCTACTGTCCAGCCCAACCTTGCAGCTATTCTGCCAGCCCTTCCCTCCCCACGCATCTCCATTCTCCAAGCCTCCTGGTGACATAGTTAATTATTTATAAATGAACATTTAAATGCACCAGAATAAGTGCTATTTAGTGGAACCCTATGGTGACTCATTGAGTAATTAAAATAATCATTTATTCCATAAGCATTTATCAGGTTCTCAGTTCATACCTAGCACTGCAGGGGGTACAGAGGTACAGGGAGGGGTGCCAAGAGTTAGACAATGTGGCTCCTGCCCTCAGGGAGCTAAATCACTTATTCTTTCATGCAACAGATAGTATTACACACCTACTATTTGTGTGATCTACTAAGTGCAGGGCAGCCTAGGTGAGCCCAGCACTGTTTCTGCCCTCAAGACGTTCGCAGGCTGGCAGGGAGATGAATGAATGATCGAGCCCATTTGATATAATCAGTAAATGGTCTCTGTGTTCAGGAAAGTCCCCTGCAAGCAGAGAAGGGCCTTAATTCTGCATGGTATAAAGACAGGGTCAAAGAACCTCCCAGGAACAGTGACCCACAAACTGTCCCTGGACA